CATGCCTCCTCCTTACCTCCCTTTTCCTCCTCTATGATAAGATCACACCTCCCTTACCCTATCTATGATAAGACCACGCCTCCTCCTTACCCTTTTTTTTTCACGACCGGCCTACACGTGGGCCGCCCCGGAACTACCGTTAGGTATTACCTCAGGGCGGCCCACGCCGTCTCTAAAACTCACAACGTGGTGTGACCTCCCCCGTTAGCCGGATCCCAAAAGTCAGGATCCGTTGCCCGGGTTGCACCATTAAATTACCCTACTAGTATTTTTGAAATCAGGATATTTACTGCGGTAATCATTTTCTACTTGAAGCAAATTTTTTTTTTTTTTTCATTTGCACCTAAAAGATAGGTCATCGGGAAAAATTTTTAAATCATTTGAATTAATTAGTTTTTTTTTTTCAATTGATAGAAGAATTTCGATTCTCTACTTAGATTTTTTTTTCTTGGTGTAACGAGTTATATACCTAAACCTATTGTCTATGACTATTAATTTCTTAATTGTTTAGCGTATTCTTATACAAACGCGCTTTTGTTTGATTTTATTTTATATTTTCTGATCATGGTGTAAGGAGCTAATAATACCCTACTTAACCTCCATATCGTCTGTGTATAGATACTCTTTTCTCTCCTACTTATGAAAGTAATAAGAGAAGTGAAAAAATAGTCAGCAGTTACAGGGTTTAAGCTTAAGAAGTGACTGATAAGAAGAGTGAGATTAATTTATGAGAAATGGGTGGTGTGTTATCTGACTTCTTAAAGGGAATGAAAGCTAGAGATGAAGATAAAAAAAATACTAATAATGATAATCGAAGGCTTTTTAATGAAATCCAAGAGAGCTTAGATGACCAAAAAGATTTCTTTTAGTCTAAATTGTTTAATAGTTTAGTGTATGCAAATACAATAGTAATAGTAATAGTTTCATTAATTAGTGTATGCATAGTATACTTGTCTATGAGTGTATGTATTTCGGATAAAATAAAATAAATGAGTTTTAATTAATTAATAACTCATTTAGTTATCAACTAGTTCATTATCTTGTTTAATTAAAAATTTACTCAAAATGTTGTAAATTTTTCATCGAAAATGAAAACGCATAAATAATCTATGGAATCAAATTATAAATTTCAAAATATGAGTTCTGATTAAGATTCTAAATCAAGTTCATTAAATTCAAAAATCGAACAAGAATCACGATCAAATTCTCCTATAAAAAGCCATTAATCTAATAGTTCAACATCTAATGAAAATGCTTTTATTGGAGAAATTAAATTAAAAAATAAGACTTTAGATATAAGCGTTTCTAATCGCTCAGATGATCCTCCACTACTACCAGGTGAAAAAGTTCAGGGTGTAGCTAGAGACGTCACATATCTATGTCCATTTAGTGGTCCAGCTAGAGGTTGGCTTTCTGTAACCAATTATAAACTTTTCTTTAAAACTTTAGATCGTGATACTCAGTTAATAATTGAAATACCATTAGGAGTAGTTAGGAGAGTTAAAAAATTGGTGGTCAATCAAGTCGTGGAGAAAATTCATATGGAATAGAATTATTTTGTACAGACATGAGAAATTTACGTTTTGGACACAAACAAGAAAATCATTTAAGGCGTAATGTGTTTAAAAACCTTCAACAATTTGCATTTCCTTTTTCTCATAATATTCCATTGTTCGCATTTGAATATACTGAAACATTTTCAGAAAATGTTTGGAATGTTTATGAACCTATTGCTTAACTTAAAAGAATGGGTGTCCCAAATGATACTTAGCATATTACTAAACTAAATGATGGCTATGATCTTTGTGAAACATACAGGGTACGTTCCATAAGTAATGCGTCGCATTTTTTTTAAAGAAATTTATTGAACGAAATGGTACAATTACTTAATATTCTTCAAAGTAATGTCCTTCAGCATTAATACACTTAATCCAGCGAGATTTCCATGCAGCCTACGCGTCCTGCCACTCCTCAACCGGGATGCTGTCAAGAACCCTCGTCGTGGTAGATTGGACGTCCTCTATCGTTGAAAAACGGGTTCCTTTCAAATCTTTTTTCATAAAAAAAAGTCACAGGGGGCCAGGTCGGGACTGTAAGGAGGCTGGGGCACCGTTGCGACACCGATCCTGTCCAGGTAGCTGGTGACAACGAACGAGGTGTGTGAAGGCGCGTTGTCGTGATGCAGCCGCCAGTTCTTGCTGATCTCCTTTCGGACGCGCGTCACTCTGCTATTCAGTTGAATAAGCACTTCTTTGTAAAACTGACCGGTTACAGTCTGTCCAGTTGGCACAAACTCCATATGCACTACCCCCCTTTTGTCGAAGAACACAATCAACATCGATTTTACCCGCGACTTGCTCATCCTGGCCTTCTTCGGACGCGGCGACTTGTCGGTGTGCCACTCCGAACTTTGGCGCTTGGTCTCAAGATCATATTCGAAAACCCAAGTTTCGTCTCCCGTAATGACGTTATCGAGAAAACTGGGATCAGCGTCAGTGAGATCGTTGAGTTCTTGACACAACAGCACACGATTTTGCTTCTGATCGTTAGTCAAAATCTTCGGTACGAGTTTCGCGCAAACCTTGCGCATTTGAAAATCTTCCGTAACAATGCGGTAAACGGAGGTTTTAGGAATGTCTAATTTGTCTGCCAATATTTGCAAACTCATTCGGCGATCAGTGTTTAGTAATTTTCGCACACGGGCGGCATTTTCGTCACAGCGCGACGATGACGGGCGTCCTTCGCGGTGTTCGTCGGCGACCTCTTCTCGACCTTCTGTAAACTTCTTGTTCCACCAGTTCGACTGCGATCTTGACAGGCAAGCATCCCCGTAAGCCTCTGCAAGCATTCCGTAAGTCTCGAACGACGTCTTCTTCAGTTTCACACAAAACTTTATCGCATATCTTTGTTCCAAATATTTCTCCATCGTAACCACGACGAGGTGCTCGCGCAGAGCGTCACTAAAACGCACGTCCTACAGCTTCAAGGTCACAGAGCGAACTGTTCTTGGAGGCGATGCGTAGCTAACTTCCCCCTCCATCGACTCCCGCTTAGAGCTAGTCGATCGGACGAATAGTCGCTTCAGAAAAAAATGCGACGCATTACTTATGGAACGTACCCTGTATCCTGCTATCTTAGCAGTACCAGCTGGAGCAACTGATGAAATAATAAGAAATACTGCAGCCTTCAGAAGTAGAGGTCGAATACTTGTATTAGGCTGGTTACATTCTGAATCTCAAGCTACTATTACAAGAGCTTCACAGCCTCTTGTCGATGTTGGAGGAAAACGTTGTCGTAACGATGAGAAAAATACACAGCTCATAGTTAATAAAAATGCACAATCTCATAAGCTTTATATAATGGATGCTAGACCTTGTACTAATGCTATAGCTAATAAAGCTAAAGGAGGTGGTTATGAACCTGAAGATGCATATCAAAATGCGGAACTAATATTTTTAGATATTCGCAATATTCACGTAATGAGAGTCTTTGAGAAAATTAAAAGAAATTTGTTTCCCAAATATTGATGAAACCAAGTGGCGGTCTGGGATTGAATCAACATATTTGTTAAAACATATCAAATGTATTTTAGCTGGCGCTTGTCGTATTGTAGACCTAGTAGAAAATCATAAAACTTCAGTTTTGGTACATTGTTCTGATGGTTGGGATAGAACAGCTCAGCTAACTGCTTTAGCAATGTTATTATTAGATCTTTATTATCGAACTAATAAAGGATTTGAAATTCTTATTGAAAAAGAATGGTTAAGCTTTGGGCATAAATTTCAACATAGAATTGGCCATGGCGATGATCACCATTCACATGCTGATAGGTCTCCTGTTTTCCTTCAGTTTATTGATTGTGTATGGCAAGTCACATGCATGTTTCCAAATGCATTTGAGTTCAATGAGTTATTTTTAATTACTATCATTGATCATTTATACTCTTGTAGATTTGGAACTTTTCTTTATAATAGTGAAAAAGAAAGGATACAAAAAGATTTGAAACAGTATCACTTTAGTCTTACATAAACAGTGATCAAGACTTATATAAACACCCTCTATATTGGCCACAACAACATGCATTAGAATCTGTACATTCTTTACGATATATCAAAATGTGGAAAGGTCTATATTGCCGTTGGAATCAAAGCATGAGACCTCAGGAACCAATTTATCAAAGAACGAGAGAGCTCTTCCATATGAAAACTCATTTAATGAAAATATCGGATGAGTATAACAGAGAACTAAAACATGAAGCCACTAGAAATAGTTCAACTACAACACGATTAACTTCTCCTATACATATTTAGTTCACTTCAAAATATATTCAGTTATTTAAAATTACGAATTAAACACAATATTAATAAACAATTGTGTTTTAATAAAATTATTTTGAAGCTATTGATTTTGTAAATAGTTATTTAGTGTAAGTTATTAATTAAATTTGAAAAAAAATATGTAAACATTTTTTTAGAACTAATCGTCATTAGTTTTTATTAATAACTATATATATTTTTTGTTAAACTGTAAAAACATTATGGTCAAAATAATTCTGTGGTAAAACTTTTTACTAGAAAGTACTTTTGAAGTTCATTTATTTAAATATATTTTTTTATTAAGATATTTATATCAATTTATGATCATTGAATTTNTTAAATATATTTTTTTATTAACACATTTATATCAATTTCTGATCAGCGAATTTGACTAGAAGAAAATAAAATAACTTATACAATAAAATAGTTAATCGTTAATTCGTCAAGAAAAAGTAAAAAATTTTAATCTTTAATCATATAAAATTTTATTTGTTTTTAATGAAGTTTGTATGCTTTGAATAGTAAATTTTAACTTTTGGTGACGTCATAAAAAAAATTGTTTTCAAATCTAAATTTAATAATGTCAATACATTAAATTCTAATTTTTGTTTCACAAAAAAACTTTAATTTAGTTTAAATTATTAATATTTGCACTATTTCAGTATAAATTGCAAAAAATTTTATGTGAAATTACACATTTAGAATTTAAAAGTATGAATAATTATTTTCTTAAGTAAAAATATCATTGTAATGCATTTAAAAACTATATTAATCTTTTGTTCATTTTGTTTTTTTACCAGCATAAAAGTAAGTCTATTCAAATTTTTATTTATTTATTCATTAAATATGATAAATTTATATTTAAAGAGCGAGGGACTTAATGTACGTCAAATAGATTTCTTTGAAGCTTTGATATTGAGTCGTAGATATGGTGAAAATATTGATATATTAAAACATGCATTATATTGTCATGAAATCAAAGAAACTTACAATGATTATAAACTTGAAGGTAATTTATAATTACTATCATTTTTAGCTTCAGTTATAATGACATAATGTTTTCTATATATCCGTAAATTAAAATACTTTGTTTACTTTAAAATTTATTTAAACTATAAAAGCAAAGAAATACTCAATTTGAAATACTATAAAAATATACTTACAGCTTTTTATAGTTGAGTATTTTAACATTTGTTACCTTTAATTAATATTTTTAACCCAATCCAACCAGACCAGACTACTCATTTTTTCAAAAAAAAAAAATTGTATTATAATTTGCTTCAAACTTATTAATTTCCATATCAACGGTTTGATAAATATAGTTCAGTTAAAAAAAAACTAAGCGATATGGCGAAGACGGTATCTTCGACTAAGCTTTCGCAAACGGCAAAGGCAATGAGATTTAAAATATAACGTGATGGCTATCAAAAACTGTGATAGATTGTGAAAAAAAGTGTAGAACGAAGCTCGAACTTTAAATCCGATTGGAATAAGATCGCTTATTTAAGCTCGACATCGCCTAGAAATTGATGTTTTAAGTGAGGTAAAAAATAATGATGGCTAATGTTTTCTTAAAAATGTTACGGTGAATAAACAAAAGAGCAAGTTTAGTTTAATTTATGTTTAAAATCTGTATAGAAATTTTATTTAGGTCCGCCGCCTATCACTGCACCCGGAACAGAGTCCCACGGATCTTGGGTGAATACTCGAGAATATCTGCCCAAACCAAGGACCCGTACAGGAGGACGAGTGTACGATTTTGATTAGAAGCTTGCGCCGCGTCTCCCTTTTATTTTCCACGACCGGCTTATAGGCTGCCCTGGAACTGCTGTTAGGCATTACTTCAGGGCGGCCCACGCCTTCTTAATAATTTACAAAACACGAAAATAAGAACCTAAAGCACCAGCCTAAACCAGCGCCTTAGGTCCTCCTGTACCGGGCAGCGTGGCTGCCTTTGTCTTAGGCGTTCCGCTTCCTCCTTCTTTTTCAAGACGGAATCAGCGAATGCCTGGACGAGCAACCACACATCTCGGCTAACTAACATCAGGTCCACCATGGACCCAACTTGGAAAGTGGACCCTTTTTTTTTTCAAGACTTGCAGTCGAAGCGCCTCGTCCTCATCGAAAGTTCCGGGTATGGTAGACGCTTGGACCACGGTTTAATCTTTTTCCAAGAGGGATAAACCTTCAAGTCGTCGATCATCTTCTCGAAGTCAACCACGTCGCCCTCCGTTAATGATCGCGTCAGCCAATCCACTTCATATCCTCGCGGCTTCCTTCGCACTGCATCAGTAGCTTGTCTTGGAGCAAGTTCACTCTTTACGGCAGATTCCGAAATTCACGTCGAGCTTCCTTGCGTTTTACTTGCCACCATGGGATTTGAATTCAACGTTGCCTTCACCTAGGAAGTCGCCTTGCCAGGATATGTGCCCACCCGCCCATTATATCACATCTCTCAAGCGCTACCGTCTATTCGACACTTTAAAAATGTATTATATCACGATTATCGTGCATTTCTGCAGAGTTAACGAATGAACGACTTGTCTGCGACCGCTTATTCGTCAGCCCAAATTAATGGATTACTTATTTAGGGGATAACCAACATATCTCCAGGTCGTTTCTCTATCCACAATCTGAAGATATGCCGGTTCCCCGAGCTAGAGAAACTGCATTCTTGCCGACGTCTCGTAGCCCCAAAGAGCCTGAAGACGCCATTACTGTAGTGCAGTGAAACGAGTTGGCGACATCTTCGCGATCATTAGAGCCATGGTATATCATCAATGATTGTGGTATATCATAGAGTCCGACGTTCTGTATGATATATACAGTACGATTTTTTTACGGTCAGCTTTGTAACTGAATTGACCGCTGCATCGGTGATGTTGGTGGCAGTCATTTAATATATATGCACAAGTATATCGCATATCGCGAAGAAAATTGAATAGTCTTTATTATTATATATTGTTGACGAAAAATACTGATTTATTATTCACTATACGAATAATGGTCAAGCATACCTTATTAACTCGTATAATAACAATTAACATCCGATATAATTGAAGGCGACATCACCACTGCGTTTAGTCATCTGATGTATTCATCCCAAGTGCGATAGTATAAAAATATATAATCATCTTTAAAGCCATAAGGCACAATTTCTGTTTTTAACAAATCTATGTTTTATTTACAAATTAGGTAAATTAACATTTTATAATTTTATTTTTAACGATTTTTATCTAAATATGTACATGCTGCATATAAAAATAGCGAATATAACGTTTAAAATTCGTATTTACACTTAACCGTATAGCTTACATTGTATTAAGTCAGTTTTAAGTTTTATTACGCCTCTATCTTTAAGACTTTGTGAAGGAGCAGGAGATCCCCTCCCGCCTTAGGATACTTTACGTTGAGTTTCGCCGTTTTCCCTCTCATTGCATTATGTTAGTTTACGTCAGACTCACTCCCCCCCAGGAAACACATATTCACTAACACCTTATCATTGGGTCATTGTGAAAAATTATGTAGCATGATATTTTAATTATCCTCTATTTAAGATATTCATTTTTTATAGATGGAATCAATGTAAGAATTTTCAAGATTTTGAATTTTTTGGTTAAAGTTAAAAAGACAGGCGATGAAAAAAGAGTAAATCACATCTTAATTAGTTTATTAACCTTTTAATCTGAATCATTTTTTAAATTATTTATCATTCATAAGGTGGAAAAACTTGATATAAATGAAGTCGAAATAATCTCAAATATATTCAGAAATCTTGACACAGACAACGATGGCTTGATAAATAAGGAACAGTGCAATACATTGATTGATTCTATTTCCTACTGTGTATATACTGGAAACGTAATTATAAAATTATTTAAAAACTATAAGTTCCTAAACTCCTTTTCATAATATTTCTATGATTTCAAATATTAAATATAACATATTTTATATAAAGGACACTGCGAATCAAAAAGTAATTTTATATACCATTTCTACGTTTAAAACTGTATTCAAATCAGCCATAAGTATATCTTTTCAATGTATTTCTAATCACTACAAAACTTTATTATGAATGTTAGTTGATTTTCACATACTTACTTTTCTAGATGAGTGATCGTGGTTTAAAAATTGAAATGCGCTGTGCTGTACAATTTTGACATCGATTGGACGAATCTGCCCCTGAATTCGTTTAGATATGAAAAAAATTTATAAAAAATAATCTTAATTAATTATTAAATCATTATAATGCCATTCTTATACAGCACGGGTGCACAAATTTTCCAAGGAAAATAAGGTAGTGGTAATGTAACATCCTTTATATAGCCCCGACTTAACGCTTTGTGATTTCGGCATGTTATCGAAACTCAAGGAATTGAAGTTGAAAATTCAGCTCAAACCAAGAGATAGTCGGATCCATGTAGGCTTTTTTCAAATCCCTTAAAGTAAATGCGTTTGCTAAATGTTTCAAAAATTTATTTCGAGGTGGAACTGTTGCATGATGTTGGGAAGGGATAAGGAGGTGCTTTGAAAATGAATAATATTAATTTTACATAAAATTTTTTTTTGAATTTTGTCGATTTTACTCTGTTTTTTATGAGTACCCTTTGTAGATAAATACAAGTGAAGTCAACCAATTTTTAAATTGTTTAGTTTAAGTTGACAATAGGGCTACGATAAATAAGTAAAATCATATATTAATTAAGTCGATGATCCTTTTTCCTGAATTATTAAACAATTATTTTTCATTATTTAGGTGAAAAAACTGGATATAAATGAGGTTCAAAGAATCTCAAGTGAATTCCGTAATCTTAACCTAGACAACGATAGCATGATAAGTATGGAACAATGCAATCCATTGATTGATTCTATTGGCTGCTCTGACTCTAGTAGAGGAAGCGTAATTATAAATTTATTTATAAATATTTATAATTAATTACACACAAGTTGCATTGTCCGAGATTTTTTCTCTTTACCCAAAAATAATAGAGTCCACATTGATTTTGAAAAAATAATTAATTAAATCATAAAATTATATTCACACGAATGATAACTAAAAAAATGCAGTTTTCTTCACAATAATTTTAAAAATACTTTTATTTTCGATTTTTAATAAAGCTCACGGCAAGAAAACTAAAGTTACGTTAATTTTACTGGATTAGCCAAAAGCCAACATTACTTATGACAAAAAAAAATTTAAGATATCATTAAATTAATTTTTTACAGTGTGATTTATTAAGTATATTACCTCTCATTTTTCGTTAAATAATGATTTTTTCATAAAAAAAAATTATAGATTAAAATTTAACCCTTTTTTATGATCTATTATCAAATTTAAGTCTATTGAAAGAATAATCATCACAATGTTGATATAGTATAGTTGGATCTAGTAGAAATAGTGATTAAAATCACTATCATAAAAAACGCTCCGATATCGATTTGGGTGCATATTTTCGAAAATCAATTTTTAGAATGCTTAGTTTTAGAATTACAGTTTTTGGTAAAATCATGTTTGAAAGGATCCATCACTATAAAATATTAATAACATCCATAAATATTAAAGTATTAAGAGAACTGATTTTGGTCAATGAATAATACAATTTTTTTCAATTTTTATGATACTCAAAGCAATTTGATGTGGAAAGTAGAAAAGATCATAGACTTTTGTTATAACTTCAAATTCTTTTTGTCTAAATTTTTCATTTAAATTTTTTAACAAATTTCGCTAATTTTCATAAATTTTCTTTAACATTTCTTGCATTTAATTTTTTGGGATTCTTATTTTTTTTTTTTTGAAAAATTATGCATTGACCAATAAAAATAGTAGTTATTATGACTACTATTTGACATTAGCCTTTTATAAAATAATATTCAAAATTAACCAACTATTGATGGAAGTTTACTAGTTAGTTTGAGGTTACACGTTACACTTTGTAGTTGACTAGTGATAAAACTAACAACTTCCGTGTCATCGCTATAAAATCACTATTGATTATTTCCGATATTATAAAAAGAGTTACTTTTAGTAAATTAAAAATACTTAAAAAATAATTCTATACAATTATTGGTCAAATAAAAATTGTTTCGAATACAAAGTAACATAAATTTAATTATATGCCAAACTTTGATATTAAAGCACCACATGTTAGTGAAGTCAAATAGAATCCAAACTTTACAGGTTATTTGTTTAAATACAAAAAAAAAAATTTCAGGGTTACTATTAAAATTTGGAACTTGAAAAATAAATATATTTAATAAATGTATTACAATAAACTATTTTGCATATTTTAGGTAGTAACACTGAACGAAAATAATAATGAAAATCTCAAAAAGTTTTTAGTTAATATGAAGAAAGAATTTAATGATGCGAGTAATTATTTAACAAATTATAAAATATCGATATATTTTTTTATACTATTGTATTTTTAGATACAACATCATTCACTTTAGGTGAGGTTCTAATAAAAGTATTATTCTACAAGACACAATTTAAGAATACTGACTTTGATACACGTTATGAAATTCATCATATACTATATCAAATTTCACAATTGTATTCTCCAAATTCGATATATCATTTAAATACGTTTTACAAATATTAAATGTATTACAGTAGGAAATATTATTTTTAATAATAATAAATAGTATTATTTTTTTAAACTTTCAAATACGCTATTTTTTTTTTTTTTGCTATTGCAAAAAATTATAAAAATTGTAATCCCTAATTAAAAAGAAATACTGGTAGAAAATCGGTGACGTTATATTTTTAACTATAGTAATGTATTTTCCTAGAATAAACATTAATAAATAAATATGCTTATACAATAAATCTTATAACACCTACATATATGATTAAAAATATATTAGTTAACACATAAATATGTATAGAGAGTGATTTATTATTTATCATTAACTATTTAATTAATTTAAAATAATATGGACACAAACAAGTTGAGAAGTGGTGAGTAGGCATAGCTAGGGTATGCATGTTCTCCCAAGTTTTCTATTATCCCTCCAAGAAATTCATGGAAATTGAATGAATTGTTAGATTTTATTACTTGAGCAGCCAATAACTTCAATATATATATGTATAAGTATTGATTATTCGTTTTTAAATTATATATATTGTTATGTAACTGTTGTATTATGCAAGCCTGCTAAGGGAAGGTATAATAAATAAAAGAAATAAATGAACAGTTTGTTTAAACATAGTGATTTAGAATTTATTATTATATTAAATCACTTTACTTTATAATGTAGAATAATATATAGTAACAAAAATCGAGTAAAATACTAAGACATATAATAAAGATTTAAAATTAAGATCTTTTTTATATGTCCAAGCGTCCCTCAATCAGCACAATTTTACCAGTTGATTGTCGATGGACGATAATCACACGATGTAGAATGACACTTATTATAATATCATTCATATATAAAATAACTATAAGAGATACTTAACAACATCTATATTACTTTAAAAGTGAATTTAAATTATACAGTAGCAAAGTTTCGTGTATCTACGATTTTTTTTTATTTTCTTTTTCTTTATTATAGCAAAGAAAGATATAGCTATACAGATTTTAGTTAAGAAAAAGACAATTTAGCTACAAAAAAAAACTACATAGTAAAATAATATTAATATGAATTTCTACTCACGAGAGGAGACTACAGTAATAATGTTTATTGAAGTTATTGAATCTAAATGAGATAAAAATCAAATAAGTTAAACATTTTTTTCTAACTCAAAAAGAATTAAGGAAAAATTTAGTGCCACAGGCGTGAAAGACCCAATTGTTACCATCTCAGAAACTGTACGTCGCATTCGTCATTTAACAAAAATAAAAATTTAGGTTGTTCAAATTTTAAAGTTGTTTTTTTCGACTTCAAAAAAATAAAAAAAAATTTAATATATTTAACTTTTTATACTATGTCAATTAGATTAATATAATATTTATGAAAATCAGTGTAATCCCCTTATAATAAAATAAAATACAAAACCAAGAATTTAAACACAAAAATAGCATATTTTTGAATACGGTAGCTATTTTCACCATAATAAAGTATATTACATTAGCTTTAATTTAAAATATATATAAAAGTGTCAGTAATTCTGGAACACTTTCAAAAATTAAGTAGAAAAGTTCATTTTTTGTAAAAAAATTGTCATTTTAAATCCCTCACTATGGACAGGTAAATGGTCAAATTTATAAAAAAAATACATCAAATGGTAAGTAAAGAGATTATGCATCTATAAAACAAACAAATTATATTGATTTGATCATTTTTGAAAAGTTATGTCAGTTTCAAGTAAAAAAAATTGAAAAAATTTTGAAAATTAGGGATTTTTAAATTTGTAATTTTTTTGGAGGTAACCCCCCATTTAAGGGGAACGAGGAAAACTTTTTCAATTTTTGAGGGTAATGTCTTCGACTAGAAACGATTTGTAATCTTTTGACTTATCGTTGAAAGAAATCGGTTCAGTGAGAGCTGAGAAAAAGTGGTAACAAACACAAAAAAAAAAANTAATACTAATGACACAAAGGCACTGATATAAACAAATAATAAATTATACAAGTGATTCTTAGAAAGATAGATGAACAAACATTATATTTATCGGCTAATTGAAACGGCTGATGATAATGTTGAATATTGAAAGGATCAATTGAAGTCGAATGTAAGTAGCTGACCAATGTGTACAATATGCTGTAAATGGTATTGTGATGTATCTCAGAAAATATATAGACCCAACGGCGATAAACTGAATGCACAGGGTATGACATCGCAAAGGTGGTATTTTTCTTTTACAGCAAAACGAATACAAAACTAATGGCTCGCAAAACACTATAGAGCTTATAACAGAAAAAGTGTTAAGATGGTGGCGACAATGCAGACATAGAGAGAAGACCGACAAAAACTCGATGTAACACAACAATAACATGAATAATCACAATTTCTTGACAGCATATTCAACCGATGTGTATCCAACACCATACCTTATTAAAAAATGATCAAATCAAAATAATTCATTTGTATATGGAAACTTTAGATATTTCTCTTTGTTTTGATATACATTTTTTTGAAAATCTGACTCTTTACACACTCATAGTGAGGGATTCAAAATAGCAACTTCTGCACAAAAATTTAACTTTTTCTACTTAAGTTATGAAAATGTTTCGGAAATCAGCGAGCTTCAAACATATGTTAAAATAAATCTATTGTTATACACTATCAGTTAAAACAAAAATTGTCCAGACACCTTTTCTTCTAAGAAAAATGGCCGTCGAATTTAACGAAAAATGATTATAATTGTAAAAATTTTTTATTAAATTCAGGTGAAAATAAAAATTATTTTTCCTTTAGATTTATGATTTATGATTTGTAAAGCAACGTGTTACCAAAAAATTTGGAATATTATATACTGTTAGTAACATAAATCAAGTTAAAAAATTAATGTATTACAATAAATATATTACGACAATAAATAATTTTAAAACATTAAAGTTGAATGATTTTAATTTTCTATATAGAGAATGTGAGCTAAGTAAATTTTCAATTTTTGAGGGTAATATCATTAACTAGATAATAGTTATAATCATTTCATGTATCGTTAAAAAAATTTGGTCAAGTGATAGCTAAGAAAATAAATAAGAGCCATAAAAAAAAATCACATAGTAAAATATTTTATTATGAATAAAAAATGTCTTCTCACGAGGGAAGACTAGTGATGGGGTACTTGATGTACATTGAAGTTATTGAATCTAAATGAGATAAAAAAATTGTCTAACTCAAAAACATTTGTAAGGTATTTTAAAATAAAGTATAAAATCAAGAATTTTAACCAAAAATAGTATATTATTGAATACTGTAGCAATTTTCACCATGAATACATAAATTCGAAATTTTTTTTTCCATATTAAATTATATAAAATAAACTTTTATTTAAGATATATATATAAAAGTATCAGTATTTCTGAAAATTTTCAAAAATTAAGTTGAAAAAGTTCTACTTTCTACACGCATTTTTAAGTTTTGTACTCCTCCCTTTATAAACGTAAATGGTCCGATTTAAAAAAAAACTATTTTGAATAAAAGAGGCATATAAATAGAATTTATCATAAAAAAATTGTAAAGAATTTTAACACAAAAATAGTATTTTTTTTTAATACGGTACAATAAAGTTATCCTAACTTAATTTGTGTTACTACTGAAATGTCACACGACAGTTAGTGTAAAAATATTTTAAATTCGAAATAAATGGAGCGCACAGCAAGTAATTCAGATGGGTAATAAAAGTTCATGTGAACAAAATGAAAAGGAACAAAACTGAAAAGCGTATGTCTAGGGATCAATGTTATAAAGTTTAATTCCTGTACAACTTTGGTGTGTCTTCTCATGTGTATCTTGTACGAACTCTTTACTCTTTCTTTATCACTTCTAATTAAACTGTACACAGAAAAGTACAAATAAAATTTTATTTCAATTGTATTTCTGAATTTTATTTAGCTCATTCCATGTAGAATACACTAATTTTAGTTTTAATTTATTTATAATCAATAATAATAACTATTGTTGTTATAAATAAAATATTAATAAAATAACTTATCAAAAAAATTGTCCATTATTTCATCATCAAACAAATTAAATATAAGTTTAGAAAAATAATTTTAAAATTTTATTAGAGTTTAACTGAGGAATAAAACTCTTTTATTGCTATAGAACAGCAAATGAATGTTTTGGGTCATATCTATACAGAGTATTCCAGAAATAAGGAAAACAGTTTTCACTGAAAACTGTTTTTATTAAAATCAATATGTTTCATTCCTTATTGAACTGTCTGTAAATAAAATACTTACATAATTTCAACATATTATTTTTTTTGTTCAAATCTATAGACATTTTTATTGAAATAAAAAAAAATACAGATAAAATTATACTCGGCAGACACTTATTTACATTTATACATACATTTAAAATATTGAAACGCAGGCAAAGTATACGTACACTATTACGAGCTACACCAACTCTCATTACATGACCTAAATCCTTTTAACAAAATAAGTACATATAAAATTGTGACATACGAGTATGACTATTTTTAAGTTATCGACATTTTTACATCTAAGGAAAAGAGGCCGAGAAATGTTTAATGATATATGTTTGAAAGTTATTAACAGTTATATACAATTTAATAATAATAAATTTAATTATATAGAGAAAATAATAAATTTAAGGCTCTTAAATAAAAAATTCCAACTTCTCTGAAAATGTTCAAAAATTTCCTCGGTGTTAAATTTTTAGAAACTAATACACTAGTATTAAATAAACTATATTATTGTGTCGATCAGTTCACTTACTTAAATAATATAAAAACGAATTAATAATATAGTTTTGTTCGTAGGGTTACACTTGACTTGTTATTGGTAAAAATTTGACGTCCAATTTTATTTTACTTTAATAAGTATTGAAAAATTGAGATTGAATTTATTTGAACTTTTTAGTATGAATTCAGGTACTTTGAAAGTTTTTATGTAATATGACATACACCATAAAAACTTGAATATTTCTGTTAAATAATACACTATTAATTTTATGACCATTGAACTTAAAAAATTCGTACACACTTTCTCCAGCACACCTTACATATAAATTTATAGTTAATAGTAAG